GTTATCAGAAATAAAATGAGATTGTTACAATTAAGAAAATAAAGAATGTTAACTTTCATTAACTTCTTCAATTTTAACAAGATTTGACCTTTCGAATTAACTCATAGAATATGTAAGTTGACTATTTTGTACAGCTGATGTATTGTAAGAGACAGTCTCTTCATCAGGTATAACACTATTGATCTTCTTTTATAATTGAGAATAAGTCATGAAGTCTCCTTTTTTGATAGGAGAAGTATCAGTTATTTTAGTTGGATTTTACTCATCTATTTCCTCTTCTGAATTAACTTCACTCATTAATAAATTTTATTTTCTTATTTCATTAAGTTTAATTTCTTAAGACAAAATACTATTAATAAAAACTATCATATAAAATATATTTAACTATCATTGAATATAGTAAATATGAATATATATATGCAGATTTACAAACTTTAAATTATTTGCTGTTAAATATAAATTATAAAATTGATTAATGTCATAATATACCAAAAGTTAAAGAGAATAAAGATCAGTAACAAATGTGAATAAAGTTTCTTTTGCTGATTCATAAATTCATAATGTAATTATTATTTGAAATATGAATAGCTTAAATAAAGTGAATCTTCTCTCTCTCCAATGAAAAATCAAGATTATACAAAATCAAAAACATAAAGAGTATATAAAACATAAACTATGAATACAATGAATACAATACCTACAATGACAGGAATTCCAAATACATTTACAGTTTAATAAAATTGTGTTGCAGCTTAACCATTATGCATGAATATTATTGTAGTTTCAAAAGAAGAAATTGAAATGCCTTGGAGACTTGAATGTGAGTATTTACAATCACTAATAAATGAATTACAAAATAAATAATAAAACAAATCTGTATAAATAGTAGAGAAAACAATAACGGATAATTCTAGAGTTGAATTATTAGAATCATAACTTAAAGAATTAAGAAGATAAAATGAATCATTATAATATGAATTACATACATCTAAAATTAATTATGAAAAAGAATTATAAAGAATAAATGGTACATTTGAACTTAGAAGTTCTTAAGCTGAAAATATTGCATAAAAAGAAAGTGAATTTTATCTTATAAGAATTAAATTAGAAGATTAAATATAATAATTAGAAAGTAAAATTAAATAATAAGATATATAATTAAGAAGATCATAAGATGAAAATTTTAAATTATAATAAATAATTAGGTAATTAACAATATTAATATAGTTCTCGAGAAACTGAAATAAATTCTCTTAGAATCTAAATTACTTAAATATAATCTAATACTAATACAAATGAATTAATTAGAATTAGAGAATTGGAAACTCAAATTAGATACTTAAATTCTGAAATTGATAATTTAAATTCAAAACTTATTAATTCCAATAATGAAAATTAATAATTAAGAATCTAAATATAAAATATAGATTATAAAACAGATACAAAAAATAATGAATTGATACTTAAATTAAGAGAATATGAAAGTAGAATCACTATGCTTACATCTGAAATTGAACGTCTTATTTATTCAATTAAATAAAAAGAAATAGAATTAGATGAATGGAAGACTAGATATTAATAATTAGAAATGTCTGGATCTTCTGTTTTCTAAGAAAAAGTAGAATATCTATCTTAAGAAGTAGAAGTTTGGAAATCTAAATTTATTAAAGCAAATCATGAATATAATAGGTGTTAAGAAGAAATTACTATGTTGTAAGCTGAATTAGAATCATTGAAAAAATAAAGAAAAGTATTATTATTTATTTATTTTAATTATTTAGTAAGAATTAACAATTACTTCTAGAGTTGTTACAAAATAAACAACAAATTCAAATAGTGGTTATAAACAATACTAATAGTGAATATATTAATGATATTCAATATTAAAAATCAGATTGTTATTCATCTTAAATTTAAACATCTGAAACATCTGGATGTGGTGATTAATATGGTTTATCATTAACTCTTTCAAAACATTTAGATATTTTAGGATTTGATAATGGTGAAGGATTCATTTAGTCTAATTCATCATAAACACTTCGTATAAAACTATCAATTTAATTATTATATTACTTCTTCATACCATCTGATGCACTTTAACCAGATTCTGCTACTAAATTTTCAATAAATTCAACAATATTGTTTAATACTTGATCATTTTCAGCTTTTAATGCTAATCTAATACAATTTGCAAATATTTTATCATGATTTTCTATTTAAACTTCTGCTTTAAATTATAAATCAAGCAATTATTTTGCTAAATCATTAGCATATAATAAAACAGTTGGATCACTTAAACCCAAATAAACATATTCCTTAGTTACTTTAGCAATCTATTCACATGATTCCATATTTTATATTTTAAAATCTGTATTTTGAAAACACCAATGAAGTAATTCAAAATGTCCTAATGGTAAATTTAATAATTTCTATGTATTGAGCTATAAAATAATGATAAATTTATTACTAATTCAACTAAATGTAATAGTAATTAAAATGAAACTTATTTTACATATTATGAGTTAATATTTAATTTAAATTTAAAACTTTTATCTGATGGAATAAAGAAATCATATTCATCTTATTATTCTTAACTAAATAAAGCCCATTATCTTGATTCTTAAGATACTTCAAGAACAATCTTAACAAATAATTCTAATAATATTTTACTATCTCCTAATAAATCAACTATGTGAATTAATGATTATGTCATAAGAATATCTGAATCTATAGGTAAAGAAGCTATTTCTATTCCTTTAGAGAAATGATTAACTTATGCTTTTAAATCTGAAATTATTCTGTCATTTTCAATAGAAAAGAATTTCTATCCTTATTAAGGAGACTTAATTAAATTTTAATAATTTGGAGTTTTGATTATTCCTCTAATCATTTCACTAAATAATATAACACATAGACAACGATTTTGCCACCATCTATTTTTAGCTAATGCTATAACATGTTTATCAATTTTCACTTAAGAATTAGCTTTAGCTGCATTACATAATATAGCTAATGCACTTGAACTTAAAGATGTTGAAGCAGATAAAAAATATATATATCCATATCGTTTCATATCATTCCATAATTCTGATTATTCTTATTCGAATCCTGAAAAAACAGCTAAACATTACATAAAATGTTCAACTGATAAATTCTATTTCATTGTTTAAATAACTTAATATTTAAACATAGGTTCTTAAAAGGAACATATCATTTAAATTAAAAGCTATTTCTTTTCGAAAAAAACACTTTATTTTATAAGATTACATATTTCTGGTAAAAAAAATTCTAAAAATAATGATCTAGTTTTTAATGCATCCTTTTATAATGATCTTGCACCAAATTAATTAACCAAATCAATACAAACATGAACTCTTTAAACTGGTAAATTTTAAATACATTAAAATGTAAATTTAAAAAATTTCCATACTTCATTTGTGTCTTTAAATATAAAATTTATATATGCTTCTTTTTATGTTATTAATTCCTAAAAAAATCCATTTACAAAATCTTCAGGATAAATATCAATTAGATCTATGAAACTTTATAGAGCAGTGCCATTCTATTTGAATTAAACTGTTTATGCAAATTATGCAAATTATTATCTTTATGTTAATGCTTCATTTAAAATCTATTTATTATATAAAATTTATACATCATAAATTGATTTATCTAATTATTTTTCTCTTGTTGATGTTGTTTCTCTCTTATTTTCATCCATTGGTGTTTTTTAAAATGAATCCTATATTTATCTATCATTATTTGAATTAAGTTTTTCTTATTATTTTTCTAATTATTATTATTCCTCCTTCAATTTTAATAAACTCCCTTAAACAGGTCTATAACTTATATTTTTGACTTCAATTTAATAGTTTAGATTTTCTAAATTTTAACTTATTGGTTTGCTTGGAACCCTCATAAAATTAGTTCTTTTAGATGAAACTGACAAAGGTGCATGCTTTTCAGAAAGCTATTCTTTTTAGAATTAATCTTCTTGTTTTTACTCTTCTTATAATTTTTCTATTCCTTTTTCTTTTAATAAGAAAGTCTAAGTATTTTATGTAGAAGTGGCAAATTCTTTAGAATTCACATAAGATGCCAAAGGAGGATTAATAACCCTTTTTTAATATTAATTAAATACTTTCTCTATGTTAATAAACTGTAAATGCTAACAAGAAAATTATAAAGGGCATTCCAATCATTATCTAAAATTTCAGCAAATCCTTTATGATTTGGAATTACTATATCATTCTTTTTAAAAAAGAGCTCTAATTGTTAATAGTTGTTTTATCTCCTTTCATCCTTTTGTGAATTATCAAAAGAGTGCATTTATACTCTTCCAGGATAATATCGTGAGAAAATTTCAGCAATCAAAAAACCATTGCTCAAATCTCTAAATAAGTTATAAACATTAATATATACCTTCTAGGATCTTTTACAGAATAACTTAGATCAAGTCCTTGTATCCATTTGATGATCTCTCTTGGTAATGCTTTTCCTACAGGTTGAAATGCTTGAGTATTAGTATTAGAACTCATAAATTTTATTAATATATTATCAATTCCAAAGTATTAATATATACTTCATGTATTGGATGAATAATAATATATAAATCTAATCAAATGGCTTAGAATATATATATGGAAATAAATAATAATTATAATCTGCAGATTAAACACAACATTATCTAAATAGATATGGATATAAAAGATAATTAAAATCTATTGTTAAAGGCTCTCATAAAATAACTAATCATATCTTATCAAGGTGGTAATAATTTAAAATTATTGTTTAATTAACAATTGAAGAATCTATATAAATAATATTAATATTATATAAAACTAAAATAAGATATATAATGAATGAATATATTAATTTCTTAATTGAATAAACAAAAAATATAAAAAAATCTTATATGAATTATTGAATATCCTAAAAATAAAATTATTTGAATACTAATATGTTTTAAAAAACTCTTTTAATTATATAAAAGTAAATATTCATAGGCTATACTATTTAATCACTCTTTAAATAGTTTATTTAGAAATTGGTTTAACTATAAATTCTTGGATTCCTATTTTTAAACTTTGTTCTTTTAGTTTATTTTCATCATACCCAGAGGTGATAAATATTTTCATTTATTTATTTGATTTTAAAATTAGAGTTGAAGTTTGCATACCATTTAATCCTGGCATTTCCATATCCATAAATATAGCTGCATAACCTTAACAAGATTCTGAACATTTTTTGGATCTAATATTTTCTAGTGCATCAGTTCCATTAAAGGCTTTATCTATTTAGGTATTAGTACTATTTTAGATATTTATATTATTTTATTACAATTATTTTATTTGCATTTCCAATATTTCTTAATTAAATACATTATCATCAACTATCAAAATATGTTTACATCCTATAATGTTTTCTTAAATTAAATCATTAACTATAATAGATTCTTAAAAACTTTAATTATCACTATTAATAACTATTTAATATTATTATTATTAAGATCCTTTACTATTAAAATAAATTTCATTTAAGGGTGGAGAATAATCATCATCCAAATGAACTTATTCTGTTTTAATTAAAGGACATTTATGATGTAATTATTGAATTTTTAAAGTTAAATAAAAGTAAGAACCATGTTTTGCCTAAGATGTATCTTAAGATATAACTTTCAATCCAGAATTATCATATGATAATTATTAAGCTAATTTATTACTTATTAACAAACCTAATCCAACGCCTTATTCATTTAAATTCTCAGAAAGTCCTTCTTTAATCTTACCAAAAGCTTTAAAAAGCTTAGCTAAATTATGTTATGATATTCCAACTCCTGTATCCTCTACTCCAGCATTTACTAATAATCCTTATTATACAAACTTAATTGAGATAGCTCCTTTTTATGTAAATTTAATAGCATTTGCAATAAGATTTACTAAGATCTATTTAAGTCTATTTCTATCTGTTCTAATTTATAAACATTTAACATTTGAAATAACTGTTAATTTTATATTTTTTAATTCAGCTTAAAGTTTAAACATTAAAAGACACTCTTCTCCTAATTAAGTTAAATTAAAGGTTTTTTAGACTAAACTGAATTAATCTGCTTTTATTTAAGCCAAATCAAGTAAATCATTAGCTAAATTTAACATGTAATAACAATTCTCCAAAACAATTGATATATTCTAACATATATAATCATAATTATTTAATTATTCTTTAAGTCTGCTCAATATATTTATAACTACATTTAATGGAGATCTAAATTCATGACTTACAAAAGATAATGTTTTAGATTTTGATTAATTAATTTGAAGTAGTTCTTTAATGTTCTTTCTATGTATAACATCTCTAGCAATTATGAATAATAAATCTTCATTGCCTATAGATATACTTATTTCAATTGATCTTTTTTAATTTTCAATTTCAAAGCTTGTTTCAACAACAAGCATATTCATATTATCAGTAGTTTCTCTTCTAAATCTTTTTGTGCCATATACGTATAACAAACATTTATATACAGTGTTAAGCTAAATCATTTAGGTAATAATACTTAACTAGTCAATGATCTAAATCTTGGAGATTGACTTTATTCTGTGTTTCTTAAAGTCATTTGTTAATCTTAGGAAAAATGTTTAAAAAAATTCAACTTAGAAGATTTAAAGTATTTTATTTATTGTTAATTAAGACTTTATAGTGAAAACAAAGAATCTCTTGATTGAAGTGGTGATTCATCCATTAAAATCTCACAAGATAACGTTTCAAAAAGCATTAATAAATCATGATTATTTTTTTGAAAAATCTTTTTGCTAATTTAATTTTAATATTCAATTTTAGGTTTTGAATTACTATTATTATCTATTTTTTCGAATTAAACTATTATAACACCTTCAGAAAGAACATCAAATAATGAACAATAATCTATTGGAGATAGAGTTTCATTAATCTTAATCTTTTATTATTTATCTGTACTTATAAAACTTAAATCTCTAATTATAGTTCTTTTTGGATTTATTTAATGTAAAGATTAACGAAAAGTTGTATTTTATAATGCCTCAACTGCTGTATCTTAATATCCCTTCATGCTAGATTAATTAGGCTTTCCCTCCTAAATGATATTTTTTTAAGGGAGTAACCATAATAAAAGTAGCAAATATAATTTATTATTTGCATTAATTACGTATAATGAATTAAATTCATGATATTAGTTACTATTTAAATTCAATTAATATGAAAAACTCAAAAGAAGTATTATTTAAAAAAAAATCATAATAGCTTTCCATATTTTACTATTTGCCATGTTGATCTAAAGATTAGTATAATTGTGAACAATAACAATATAAAAATAATTTTGATAAACATTCTCTATACCATACATAAATGATTCTACCTAAAATAAAATTATATCCATTAATATAAGAGCTAATTATAATTCTGTTTAAAAAAACCTTGTCTTTTTAAAACATAATAATTCTATTGATATCTAAACAAGCAAATTAATCATCAAAAATTTAACAAATTGATTTCCAAAATCCTAATATTATATTATCATCCTTATAAATTGAAATAGCAAAGAAATTATCATTGAAATTTATAGTTTGCGAGATCTTAATTAGTTATCTAACATAGTCAAATTTAAATAGTTTAATATATATATAAGAAATTAAAATTTATTTTTCCATTTAATGCATCAAATTCATTTTAAATAAAATATTAATTTTAAGGTGACTTAATTGGTGGTCCTAGAAGTTAGAATGAAAATTATTAATTGTTTTTACACCATAAATTAATAAACAAAACTTATTATTAAATACTCAATATTTTTCTCATAAATCCCTTAGAAATAATTAGAAACTTTCAAATATACTAATATCATATATTTTAATAATATATAAATAATTTATATAAATTAAAACTTACCAATATTAAAGATATTTAACTTATTATTTCATTTTTATAATGATACTTTATTGGTAAAATATCATTTAGTTAGAGGCTTACTATTAATTTTTCTATTTTTAGTGTTATCAAATTGCAATTAAATGATTAAAATTGAAATTTAAATTCTTTTCAAAGTAATTATTTCCAAATAAATAATTTATTTATTATTTAATCCATTTGATAAAAACACAGCATTTAGATTATTATTAAATTAAGTATGTTAAAAATTAACATTCAATTATATTGTAATTATTTATGGCAATTTATATTTATTAAAGGATAATTAGTTCAACATTTATTTAAATTCAAATTGGTGATAAATTATTTTTGATTTATAAACTTAGTAATTATTACTAAAGCGATATTCAAAATTCTTTTTTTCTAAAGCTTTCTAAAATATTTGAATTTTCGTAAAATTATTTTTGTAATATATTATCTAATTTATAATTCAAATTTGTAAAATAGTAAATGGATTATTCATCCTATATATAATTGAGTTTGTTGATCTTAAATAAAAGTTTAGACTTCTATTAATTAGGATATATTCCATTATTCCCCAACCTGAGTTGAATTTAGTTTTTTAAGATAATGATAAATTTCTTAAATGCTTCATTCATAAATTTGTTGGATAAATGAGAAATGTTATTTTATTAACATATATTCAAATATATTCTTCTTATTAGTATATTTATGACAACAGGTGTTAATTTTCACAATAATTAAAAATTGTAAAAATAAAAATATTACTTAAATTTGAAAATAATTATACTTATTTTAAATATTCTCAATATGATATCAAAATATCATTTATATTTATAAAGCATTATTGAATAAATCAAAATCAACATGGTAAGATGTTATTTAACTCCTTTTTTTACTTAATAAGTTCTGTATTTTTATTAACCATTTCTCTGACTTTTTTTGTTTTTGGATGTGAAAGATCTCCTAATTAAAGAGACCAATTTTATTGATCAATTGGTTAAGGATCATCATTAAAATAAGAATAAAGTTTATCCTTAATTTATGATGGCTTAATTGGAAGACTAACCAATTCAGGTTCTGGAATACTTATTTTATTCTCTTAATTTGATTTTGGCTATTAAGGAAGCTGTTCAACTTAATCATAATCATTTTTAATCAAATCAGTAAATTACTATTAGGCAGCAGCCTCCAAATATTTATCTAATACTGGATCAGATCTAATGTCTTATCCTTATTCTAATGTATCTGGAAGAGTTGATTATTAACTTTAAGATTCAATGTCTAATTTTAAATGACGAAGAGATGTGCTTTTAGAGATCGCTAAGTTATATTTTGATGGATCCTTAATTAATTAGTATTAAATTAATTACTTTAATTCTTTTTAACATCCTTTATTGGACTCTATGATCTTACATTTTAAAATCATCAGCAATCATATTTTCTCTCTTAATTTTTTCATCAATAGCAGCAGTCATCATCTATTAGACTTATTTATTACTATCCATTTATTAAATGAATTATATGTTGTTTTTGATTTATTCCTTTTGTACATGTTATTATTAAATTTATTTAGATTCTTATTTGCCTTCTGCTCCAAACATTTTATTCACATAAGGTTTCATTAATAAAGCTTGAATTTTGTTAGTAAATACAGTATATCTTTCTGATTTAATTGAAGAATAATGTTCTACAGCTTACTAGATTAATATATCACATTACACTATATAATTCTAATAGCTCTTAAATTTCTTCTTTTGAAGCAGCATTTGATTCAACATCTAACTCTAAATTTAGGACTTTCTCTGCAAAATTAGCAGGAAGTTTAGGCTATTATACTGGCTGTTAAGGTTTATTAAATAACCAAGACATAAAATATAAAATTTAATCAAAGCTTTTGATTAAGTAGTATTTCAATGAATTCTTTTTCTGTGATTTCTCCTTCTGCCTTACATTCGGTTAGAATCTATTGCCAAAGTTCTTCATCAATACTCCCAATCATATTTTCTAGTTCTTCTTTTGATATTTTTCCGTCATCATTCACATCGAATATCTTAAAGGCTGCCTTAACTCTTTCAAGTGAAACTAGTTTTTCTTAGTTCATAGCTGCCATCAAAAATTCTAATAGTAAATATATAAGTATTACCTGAGAAATCAACTTATCCACTTTAATTAAGATCTACAATTTAAAGAATCTTATTGACTTCTTTAATTGCTAAATCTTTATCTTTTAAAACTAAAGTATAACCTTCAATTAATTCATCTTTTGATAATATTCCATTCTTATCTTAATCCAAAGTTTAGAATGTTTTCACTAATTCATCTTATTCCTATTAAGAAGTCATTTAACATGCAATAAAAGAAAGAACAGCTTAAGTAAAAATAGATTTAGCCTATATAGAGATATATTTATAATAGTACTTGGAATTTTTGTAAATTTTATAACACAATTTAATTGACTTTTTCATTTAAATTATGTTTATCAATCCAGGGATCATGTAAGGCTTATTTAGCAGAAATTCTTTAATTTGGATTAACTTAAAGCATTTTGATTATCAAATTTTTAGCTTCTTCTGAGATAAAACCCCAATCTTCCTCTAAACTAAGTTTGAATGATAAATTTACAATCAAATTTAAATTTGCCCTCGCTCACTTTATGCATTATATCTTTTTCCGTTTTTCCTGTAAAAGGAGGATATCCACATAACAAAATGTATAGAATAACACCACATGACCATACATCACATTTTTCATTATAATCTTATTTTAATACTTCAGGAGCTATATAATAAGCCTATAAATAAATATAATTTTTACAGTTCCTAGTTTTTTGGTCATTTTTTTTACAGTATCATATTTCCTTGAGGTTCCAAAATCTATAACTTTTAATGGTGAATTAGATGATTCATTAATAAATAATATATTTTCTGGTTTTAAATCTCTATGAACAATTTTTTATTCATGACAATAAACAACAGCAAGTAAGATTTATCTAATAAATTCAGCTGCTTTTTTTTCACTAAAATAGGTCATAGATTTAATTCTATCAAATAATTCACCTCCTGATAAATATTCTGTTATCAAATAGTAGTTCTATTAATCTTAGTATAATTCATATAATTTAACAATGTGAGGATGATCTAAATTTTTTAGTATATTCATTTCTGCAAATAGTCTTTATTCTTCTTCAACTATCAATGAACTCTTCTTTAATTACTTCATAGCTCTAATCATACCTCAAATTAATATACATAATTACCAGTATTTTTATGAGTAACCTTCCAAACCTTCCCGTAAGCTCCTTAACCTAAAACCTCTCCAGTTGTGTAATATTTATGGATACTTCCTTACTTAAGATTCACAAAAACATCAGCTCCTAATTTTACTGTACCAATAGAGGATACGGTTAACTTTTTTTTAATCCCGTTCTTTGGCAATGCTATATTATTAATATACATTTAAATTACTATCAACTTTGCTTTCTGATTATGCAAACATTTTACATTATTATCCATTTTAATCATCTTTTGGAGTAAGATCTTATGGAGAATCTGCTATAACTTCAAAATCTTAATATTATTCCTTTATTTCATTAACATTGTCCAACCCAATCAATTAATCGTTGTTTATACTTTTTTTTGATAATGTATTAAGACTCCCTTTCACATCTATAACTATTTCATTAGTTATCAATTTTTATGGAAATGAACAACAACATTAAGCTCCCATATTATAATTAATTTTTTAATAAATAATTGAAACATAATTATAGTTAATAATTCACCCCATCATTGATTTCCTCAAATATTTCATTGAAAAATTCTTCTTTAATGCATGTGCTGCTCTAAGATCCATTTATTTTGGTGTTTAAGTGGGTATTATTTTAGATTTAATTAGAGATTCTCTTCTTATTTAATCTTAAGTTTGTTTATCTTTAACTTAGTCTTTCCATTACACATTTCTTTCATACATAGGTTTTCTTCGATCAAATATATCTTAAGTCGTTTTGAGAATTTTCGGTGAGAAAGTACATTCTATTAATTCTTATTCAAGTTTCATTGTTTATGAATCTACATTTAAAGTACCTTCTTTATTCATATTTCTTGTAGAACGATTTACTTAAGAAACATTTAATCTAGCAGATAGTAGACGAGATGTTTATGATAATTAAGGTTAAAAAGTGTATTTCTTTTTGAATTCTTCTTCTAATTTAAGTGACAGATAGTCTTATTTTTCTTATTTATGCTTTAAAAAATTTATTCCTGATTGATACATATCACTATTTGGACGAACTCTATGTGATTGTATTTCGTTTTAACTTATTAATTCAGATTCTGAAAAGTATTTTTATTTGATATATTTTTATTTATTTAATGAAGATATGGTGTGTTTTTCATGAAAGTTTGATGTAGACAACAAGCTAAGGCTAGCCTCATCATAAATATTAATATTCATTAATTAAAATATTATATAAAAACTGTTAATTAATTAATCAGAATAAATTAAGAGAATTCATAAGAGAAATATTACAAAGTAGACAAATATTTAATAGATTTATTCAATATATATTAGAGTTATTCAATATGTATTTATTTAATTATATATTAAACTAAATTATTTAAATTCATAATATTTAATGTTTACAAAGGAAAATAAGCATATATTTTGTTCAATTTTATTATTGTTCTCAATAGATCTTATAAATTA